TATTACAAACTTGAAGGTTCGACCGGGATACATTGAAGGCCAACATTCCTGCGTATGTCTTTCTTTCCCGGGCATACATTGGGTCTATAAAATTTTCTATGATCTGAGCCTAGTTGATTCTAATCTTCCCAAGGAGCCTCTGAGGGAGACTCAGGGGGGAGGGGGAAGGCTGAGCCCCCCCAGGGGTGCAGCCCATCCCCAGAGCTGCACTGAAGTCAGTTTCCAAACAGCCAGCCAGGTGAACTGCCTGAGGTGTACAGATGCTCATTTGATTATTTGCTTTAATGTGTGTGTATGTTAACTGCACTTCTCTGTATTTCATGATTAAAAACTAAAGTTATAAAAAGCTGACTGGATCACAGGGACACTCGGCAGGAAAGAGCAGCAGAGATGAAGTCGTGTCAGCCTCAGGCTTCTCCGGATACCACAGAGCGATATTTATCAGGTTCAAGGGCAAAGGTGCAGCCTGATTTCTGGTCACATTGTCCTTTGGAAAAAAGGCAACAGACATGGAATGCAAGAACCCAAGGGGGACATGAGAACTGACTGTCGTTTCAAACACGCAAACGTTTCAGACATCAGCAAATTCTCATTGTCTCTCCCATTTGTCATTTCCGTTCCACCAGCTAGAAAGCCCTCTAAAGCAGAGTCTTGTCCCTCTTGTTTTCTGCTGTGCCACACTCTGTCTAGCTGGACGTGGCGCAGGATAGGAGCCATGGGTTTCGTGGAGTGAGGTTGTTAGTCCCCCCTGTGTCCTTTTCATATGTTTTCTTTTATGGCCCTGACATTAGGACTTAAGAGTCCCCTGAAGAAAATAAAACTTGGTGACTTGAGGTCTTGATGACTGAGGCCAGATTTTGGCTCCATAGAGCCTGAGATGCTCAGAAAACACCCAGAGATGCTGTTTTCAGGTGGGTCGTGGAGAACATGATGGTGGAAAAAGATGGTCATCCGGAGTGTCTGCCCTCACACAGACTAAGGAGAAAGGGATCCATAAACCCGGTCACCACGTGCTTCTTTCTCTGAAGAGAGTCAGCTCCCCCCACCCCCACCCCGCTTGGAATTTGCTGAGGCAGAAGGTGCACAAGTGTTTCTTGTGGACAGAAGGGGGTCGTGCACAAGGGGAAGCTGGTGTGAGGTTGTCCCCAAACCTGACCAATAGGGCAGCCTGGAGCAGTGAATGAGCTCAGTAGACAAAAGCTGAAGCCCTTGCCAGATTCCTGGAGCTGCAAAAGGCTGGAGAGATGAGCTGACGGCTAAAGCGGCCCTTGCATCAGCTAAGTGCAAGTGAGCCTCCTCCAACCGCTCATGGGGGATGTGGGGCATCAGTAGAGGAGCCAGGGGAGCCCGAGTGAGAGAAAGCACCAGTTTAAGTCCTGCCAGCCCTGTAGAGCATCTTGTGGTGGCGCCCAGGAGCAAGAACTTTCCTGCTGCCTCCCTCCCTCCCTAACACCAATCTCCCCTCCCTTCTCCTGCAATCACGTTAGTTTTCTGCAGCTGCTCTAACAAATTACCACAAACTTGGTGGCTTAAAACAACAGAAATTTATCCTCTCACAGTTCTAGAGGCCAGAAGTCCAGAACCAGTTTCAATGGGCTGAAATCAAGATGTCCGCAAGGCCGGGTCCCTTCCAGAGCCCTAGGGGAGAATCCACCCTTTGCCTCTTCCAGCTTCTGGTGGCTGTCGGCATGCCTCGGCTGGTGGCTGCATCGCTCCAATCTCTGCCTGTGTGGTCGTTGCCTTCTCCTTCTGTGTATGTCACTCCCTCTGCTTCTCTTATAAAGACACTTGTGATGGCATTTACGGCCCACCCAGATAATCCAGGATAATCTTAGCTCAAAAACTCTTAGTCACAACTGCCAGGACTCTTTCTATATGAGATAACACAGGTTCCAGGGATTGGGGCCTTGATATCTTTTGGGGGCTATTATTCAACCTACTACAGTTTAGGAACCACCACTTGCCAGCTGGACAGATAGAAGGGGAAGAAAGAAGCCAAGCATCCCCTTTCCAGAGTTCTAAGTTTTGCAGCTGCATTAAATCCTAATGGGAAAGACTTAACTTTTTAAAAATTGAGATATAATTGACATATACGTTGTGTAAGTTTAAGGTGTACAAACGTGTTGATTTGATACATTTATATATTGCAATACGATGACCACTGTAGTGTTAGCTGATACCTCTATCCCATCACATAATTATCACCTTTTGTGGGGGGATAGATTTAATTTCATAAAAGCAAATTAAGGGGTTTTCTTTTGTGTGGGATTCAACTTTCAAACCTCTGAATTGAGATTGGTGACTGTTTTATGTCTGTTTCCCGGAAACAGATTCTGCCCACAGGAGGTTTCTGGGCCGGGGGCGGGGTGGGGGGAATGGTGGGAGGGTGCTCTTAGGAACCATAGGTGGGAGGGAGTCTGGGGGGCAGTGGGAGACGATGAACTGGGATGTAGTGACCACAAAGGTTTTGGGAAATCCCCTGGCATGCTCTGGGGCTGGGCCCTCGGAGTTGTCCTGAATTAAGACAAGCAGCCTGCCCTTTGTCTCCCCACATTGGATGTAGCTGCCCCCAAGGAGGGACTGTAACCTTGGAAATTGGCAGTAGACGATTCCAGGAAAGGGACTTGCTGTGAGCAGCCGGAAGCCAACACTTATAGCAGCTGGGGAATTAATGCCTCTGCCCTGAAGAGGGGGTCAGGTGGCATACCATAATGTCCACCAGTGACCCAAAGTGACCATGGGAGTTGATTATCTCAGGAAACGTCACTGAGGAGCTGAGGGAGGACTTCCTACACTGAATCAGCATGTGAGGAAACATGGGAATCCATGTAAAAGCTGCCTTATGGTTACAAACCCCTCGCTTCATCGGAGAGACGTGGGGAATCCCACTGGGTTATCTTTTGCGGGGACTGGGGGTCATTTAGTCATTTGGACCACAAAAACTTATTGAGTACCTACTATGTCCACGACTCTTGTGGATGCTGGAGAGTCAGTGGTGAACATGAATCCCCCTAGAGGGGGTGCAGGACCTGCTCTAGATCCCTCCAAGCCCCTCTCATGCCCTGAGGGTTCTCCATGCACCAGGCCGAGGGTGCCCCTCCCCACTATACTCAGAGCCCCGCACAAAGCAGAGCTGCCCAAAGGTGGGAGGGACAGAACTCCCATGCTCTTCTGCTCCAGAACCCTGAGCCCAGCCCTCTCGACCCCTCCCAAGTCAGACCATCCCTTTCCTCCAGCCAGGCTCTGGCTGGCTTGTGTGGGAGCAGATGGGTGGATGGGTGCGGGTGAGCCATTTGGGGTGAGAGCATACACATGATGGGTTCCTCCTACCAGAGGGCAGTTAGGGTCTTCCTGGCCACCCCCTGCCTCCAAGAGCCCCCCAAAAAAGCCACTCCTGCAGTTATGCTGCATGCTTAAAGCCTCCAAGGAGGGCTAGTTTTCTTTTTAATCTCGAAGTCACCAAGCCTGACTCACCGGCAGCCTTCACACGGTACCCAACTTATGTCCCCCAGGCAGTTACACACAGGTTACTCATCACAGCATCGTGTGCCAGGGCAAAAGACTGAACACAAACGCTTATATATGATTGTGCAGCCTCCCTCAGAATACTACACAGCCATAAAAAAGGCTCAGGTTGCTTTTTACCTACTGATATGAAGAACTTCTCTCTGAGTTATAAATACAATGAAGGGAACAAAGCGAGGCACAGGATACTATGCAGCATGTATATCACCATTTATATAAATGCAGGAAAGGGGAGGAGATATGTTCATGTCAGCCTGGTGACGCATAACATTTATTTGGAAAGACTTAGAAGAACCTGATGCCTCTGGCTGCCTGCACGTAAGGGAACTGAGTGGGTGAGAGACAGGAGGAGGGAAACTGTTGCTAAGCCCCTTTTGAACTTGGACCCATGAATGTCATAGCTATTCACGAATAACTATAACCCACACTTAAAACATAAAATGAACAGTTTTAAAGCTAGCTGGTAAGCCTCGTGGGCTGGAACAGGTGTTCTCGTTTCTTTGCTCAGTGAAAGCAGAGATGGGGAGCAGCTGGTGACGCGCTCAGCGGGGCTCTTTCATCCATTCATTCCACCAATACCTGCCCGGCCCCTGCTGGGAGCTGGTGACACAGCTATGGTCAAGGATCCCCCTAATCACCTGGGGAGGGGGGGCAGCTTCCTGGACCACACCCCAGGAATGTGCAACTTTAAGAAGTCCCCAGGGCTTCCCTGGTGGCGCAGTGGTTGATAGTCCACCTGCCGATGCAGGGGACACGGGTTTGTGCCCCGGTCCGGGAAGATCCCACGTCGCGGAGCTGCTGGGCCCATGAGCCATGGCCGCTGAGCCTGCGCGTCCGGAGCCTGTGCTCGCAGCGGGAGAGGCCACAACAGTGAGAGGCCCGCGTACCGAAAAAAAAAAAAAAAAAAAGAAGCCCCCATCCCTGGATCATTTTTGCAACCACCAGAGTGCTGAGGACCACTGGTCCAGCACTCATCAATTTCCAAGAAACACACACCTTAGAATCCAGGCTCCAGAGCCTAGAGAGGTGCTGCCACGTGCCCCCCTCCTGACCACTGCCCCATGCACCCCCTACAGATATTTGCGCCTAAGAGCTTCCAGCTGAGTTAAGCCTCCAGCGCCATCGCCAGGTTGACCAGTTCCAGGCACCAGCTTCCCAGAGCCCCTCTTGCTCCCAGCTGGAGGCTGGAGACGTAGGCAGCCAGCCTCAGCCTCCGAGGGTCTGCAGGCACTAGGTGCTTCATAAATTCGTGATGCACGGGCTCTGACCCCAGCTGCTCCTCGGCACCTCCCTTCCCAGCAAACCTGCGTGGAGAAAACCAGTTACACTTGGGTAGCTGCTTAACAAGGGGGCGGGCTGGAGAGGCCCTGAGCCCATAAGAGGGCAGGGCGATGGGGGAGCCCCAGGGTTATTCGAGGCCGGTGTGTGAGGGCTGCTGAGCAGGTCTGGGGGCGGTCAGCTTGGAGGGCCGTGCCATGTCCTTCCAGAGCACTGTCCATCTGTCCTTGGACAGCCCTGCCCATGCGATTTGTGTGCAGGGCATGGAAATCTACTTGGATGTCAATGGGTGAGAAGCTGGGGGCGGGGCCGGGCTGGTGCCTCATTGCCCTCCTGAGGCTGCCCTTGGATTATGCGGGAGTTGGGGGTTACCTCCATTCTCTGTATATTACCCTGCTGTTCTGCCTCATCTCAGGGAGCCCAGTTTGGGTCTTTAAGGGCCCCCCAGTCCTCCTTCTGCCCCTCATGGGCTGTGGGGCCTTAGAAGCAAGAGCCTTGCCCCTTCTTGGTCCCCTTACGTGTGAAATGGGGGTGAGGTTGGCTCCCAGGGCAGCCGTGAAGATTGAGTGAGGGAGGCTCCCGTGAGCTGGAGCTTCAGTGGGGAGGTGACTTACGAGGCCATGTCTCCCCCAGGTCACGGCACAGACCTCCCAATGTTTTTCCCCTGTAGGGATCCCTCGTGGCTGAGACAAGTGGCTCTCCCCACCTTGGAAGTCAGGAGTTTATAAATAAGATGTATCAATAGCTTGGTAACTTCTAGAGTGTTGGTGGGAGGATGGGGTCTGGGCTGGAGCTTGTCGGAGCGGGGACATGGGGGTCCTTGGAGCAGGGCATGGTAAGAGTAAGGCTGAAGTTGTGTTAGGACCCCAAAACTGCCCATAAGTTAGGGTGTCTCAGCACCTGAGAGGCTGGGGGGGCGCTCCCCTCCACACCAGCTGCACTCTAGGCCGAGAAGGTGAGGCTCTTGTGCCCCAACTTCTGTCTCCTTGCCGGGCTACCTAGGTGTGCCCCGCAGCAGTGCGAGTCCTTCACCGTCGATAGCTCTCCGGGAGTCGTGGTCCAAATCTACGGCACAGACCCAGTAAAGATCGGGGAGGAGGCTGCCATGAACTGGTGGCCCCTGTCACATCCCACGAACGTGCTGGTGGGGATGACGTCCCCCAGCTCTGCCAACGACAAGGGCAAGGTAGGTCTTGGGGGGAAGATGAGGGGGACTCCCTGAGGAGATGGAGCTAACACGACCCCTGGGTTCTCCCTTCTAACAGCTGACGTTTCCTGAGCTCTGAGTCTATGAGAAATTCAGTGCCAAATGTTTTGCCCATCTGACCTTACTCAGTGCTTGCAGCAAACCTGTGAGGTGGGCACTCCGTGACCCCATTTTACAGACGAAGAAACTGAGGCACTGAGTGAGGGAAGTGCTCTGCCCAAGCCAGTAATCAGCTGAACAGGGATTCAAGCTCAAGCATGTCTGTCTCCTCCATATGTGCTTCTGACCAGGACACCAGCTTCCAAATTAGCTGCTTTTGAAGTCTGGCTTAAAAGGTTTCAGCAGCAGAACTCAAATGGGCTTTTTGGCTAAGACTGATCTCCCAGATGTGGAGCCTCTTAATGAACCTCAAGAGTTACGCTGAGTTCAACGCTGAGCACTAGGTATCATGAGTTGAATTTCCAGAGGCTGGCATTACCTCCTTTTACATAACAAGGAAACAGAGCTAGAGAGACCCCTGTAAACCTAAATAGCATAACTACCGTGGGACAGGTCCAGGGTCTAAGCCCAAGTCCGTGCCCTTTCCCCTGGGCAGGCTGTCACCCCAACGGAGCCCCTGTGAGGGAGAGGTGCCCTTCCACCTCGTAAAACAGGCTCATCAGAGTCTGAATGGTTAGTGGTGGTTCTGAGTGATTAGAACCACTTGATGCCCAGGCCACACCCCCTGCCCATCAAATCAACCTCTGGGGCTTCACAGCTCCCAGGTGACTCCAATGTGAAGCTGAGGGGTGAGAACAGCTGAGGAAGCACTTTCAGGACCAGGGGACTCGTGTTGGCAGAACTTTCTGGAGGGTAGTTAGCAGAGGACTAAGTGGGGCTGACTGAGGGCAGTACACACCCCTCCCTACACTCTGTGCGCAGGGCAGGCAACTCCCTAACAGGCAGGTGGTACACTTAGGTAAGACTGAGCATCTCACAGATAAGGGTGGAGGCTGTGATGTGGCCCAGCTGAGCCTAGAGGAGCTGAGACGTGTTCTCTGCCCAGGGCTCAGCCTCCAGCACCATCAACAGTGAGATGCTTACTCCTGGCCCCAGCTAATGGCTAGTTCCGTGGTTCGTGGTGAAGGCCTGTGGTCAAGGCCAGTGGCTGAAAGGCAGGGCTTTGTCTAAAGACTCCTCTGGAAGCAGAGTTTGGTGTGGGGCACAGGAAAGACTATCCCGCCCCAGTGTCCTGCTTCCTTTTGGGCAGCTTAACCCATTGGAGGCCCCACATCCTCATGACCCATCTCATGGGGCAACAGGTGGGGTCCCAGGAGGGACAGGAAGAGTGGGGAGGATGTATAGTGTGACTTAAAGCTTGACCTCTAGAGCTGGACAGCCAAGATTGTAAATTCTATGCCACCCCTTTTTCTGGCTGAATGATTTAGTCCCTCGATCTCTCTTGGGGAGAGATCCCACAACCCCTGGATGGGTTGTTGTGAGGCCTCGGTGTGGAAGGGCCTGGAGGGTCACAGCATGTTATACACGGGGGTTATTACAGTACGGTGACTCTGTACTGGCTCACAGCAAGGCACCGGAAGCTCAGAAACTGTAACTCAAGACCAAGGTCAAACGGCCAGACACGGGTACATGGCTCAGGGTCCTGCTCTGGCCCCCCTGCCCTCTAATGCTCCCATGGGTGCTGGGTGCTGTCTCCACAGGTTTCGGTCTCCTACTACCAGCACAATGAGGATGTCCCCATGGCCACAGCTGTGCTCTACCTCACGAGCATTGGTGAGTGTGCTCCCAGCCCTGGAGAGGAGGGGTGGGCTTTGCAGAGGCGAGAGGGGCTGAAGGGGGCTCTGCCTGTAACGAGATGCCTCCCGTGGGTCACAGATGGATTCACACAGTACCCGTTCCCATGGTCCCTCAAAGCTCACTGCTGACCTCATTCTCTGACCAGAACAGAGGCCATCGGGACCCCATGTGTTCACGTCATCCAGCTGCCTGTGTCAGGGTCCTACATTCCGCTTCCTCTGTTGCAATGGATGACGTGTCCGGTCCCAAGTTAATCTTAACCATACCAGACTCTTTCCCCTCTCATTCAATAACATTCCTTCAGCCGTTCTCACTGATGTAGGAAGCCACTACCCCTCCTGCCCTCCTCTTTAGATTGTTCCAGAACAAACTATATCTATTCCCTTAATAGGAACAAGTTATTATGCCTATTCTCTTAAGGAACCAGCTAGAGTGTCTGTTCTTAGGCCTGATTCTATGTAGTCTTCAAACTCCACTCCCCCACCTCTCTGCATCCTCAGTTTTTCCTCACTTGCCCTTGAACCTGCTCAGACCAGACCCCTACCACCAATGCTGTCCTCATCGAGCCCCTGAACACCTTCTACCGCACTCAGTTCGGTGGTCTATTCTCGTCCTCTTCCTCGACCTGTCCTCGGTGTTTACAACACTGGTGGTCCTTTCTTGAGCCACTTAGGGACCCCGCACTCAGCTTTGTCCCTCTGCAGCTGGCCTTTCCTTCTCAGATCCCTGCGCTGGATCCTTTGGCCACGCCCTCCGACCCCGCCTGTCAGCGCAGCGCTGCAGGGCTCAGGCAGCCGGTCACGTGGCTCTACACACAGCCCACAGGTGACTCGCAAAACTCTCTAGCCCAGCATCGCCCATAAACTTGGGGGTCTACTCACCACCCTAGCTTCCTGAGTGTCTGACCAATGTCTCAAACCTTTTTTTTTTTATAATAACAGGTAACATTTGTTGAATACGTAGAGGGATAGGCAGTTTTCCTATATGTTAAACCAGATCAAATTACCCTAGGAGAGTGTTTCAGAGAAAGCGATATGCAATTTTCAGATCAACATTTCTCCTTTTAATTTTATTTATCTATTGTTTTGGCCCTACCCCGCTGGCATGTGGGATCTTAGTTCCCTGACCAGGGATCAAACCGGCGCCCCTGCATGGGAAGCGTGGAGTCTGAACCAAACTTAATACACCCCAAATTGAACTGATTCCCTCTACCCCCAAGTGCCTCTTTCCTAGTAGTCTCCCACATCGTGCTAGAAGCTCCATCCTTCCAGCTGGTCAGGCCCAAGCCCTTGGTGTCACCCTTACTTTTCTCTTAGCCCGTGTTGATCATGAATCTTGTCGGTGTTGCCTTAAGTCTAGCTCGAATCCAGCCACCAGCCACTACCAAAGCTCTCAGCCTGGTCCGAGGCATGGTCATCTCTGCCTGGGTCACCGACAGGTCCCTAGTGCGGTTCCCTCCTCCATCCTTGATCCTCTACAGGTCCAGTCTCAATTTGGCCTCCAGAGAGGCACCTCTCTAAAAGGCTATCAGATAACGTCTCTCCCAATCAAAGCCTCCTACCGCTTGCCCACCCTCAGATTAAAGCTGGCATCACCGTTACCTACACAACCTACCTCAGCTGGCCCCTACGCTACCTCTAACCCACGGCCTCTTTCTCTTTTGTTCATCTTGTTCTAGGCACACTGGCGTCTCTGACCCTTGAACTTCCCACCATGCACTTCCTATTCTAATTGCTTTTACCCCAGATACTAATATGGGTCACTCTCTTGCCTCCTGCAGGTCTCTGTTCACACTTAGAAGACTTTTCTGATCCAAAACTGAGACACCCCCTCCACCCCCTTGTTCCCTGTGGCATTTTACCATTGGACATAATGTGTATTTTACTTATTTCTTCACCCCTTGCCACTGGCACATGTGTGCGTGAGTACGCACACATACATCCTAAGATCAAAGAAGATAGGGCCTGTCCTGTGCGCTGCTGTATCCCTAGGACCTAGAACAGTACCTGCTTGGTGACGGGCATCCTTGAGCATCCGTGCCAGGTGCTGAGTGGACAGCAGTAAACGAGGTCTGTTCCCTTGGCCCTGACATTCCAGTTGAGAAATAGCACGCTGAATGTCAAGAGTTATGAACAAAACTACGACCAGGGTGAAGCCACGCAGTGGTCAGCAGGGTGGGGAGTGGTGGAAGGTGGGATGTAAAGACCCAGAAGGAGCCTCTGTGGTGATACTTGGGCAGAAGCCTAGATCCTCAAGCTCTAAAGGGGCTTGGAATCGCCATGTATTGAGCCCTGGCTGTGTCCTAGGGGGCCAAGAGCTTTCCCAGAGGCTGGGGAGGAGGGCCTTCCAAGTAGGAATCACCTGGGAAGAAGCCAAGAGGCACAAGTGGTGTCATGACCACAGTGGACTTGTTTTGTGGCCTCCCAGGAGGTTGGGGGAGATACATGAATACCTGGGCCTCTCCAGGCTTGCTCACGAGACACTGCCTCTGAGGAATTTCTTCCAAGCCGGCAGCATGCCCCAAAGGCTGGAGGACCCTGATACCAGCCTTAGGCAGCCCTGGGTACTTACCTACAGCTCCAAGGCTGCATCCAGCTGGTCTAGATGGTTGAGACCTCTCCCTCCTGTTGCAGAGCTCTCCCTGGACGTGGATGTCTACCGCAGTGGGCACTTCGAGACAAATGACAAACAGGCTAAGGTGAGGCTGCCAGGGATAGGAAGCAGGCCAGGGGCCCAGGAGCCAGATCTGGCCCACAGACTCAATTTGGCCTTCATAGTGTCAAGTGGCTACTATACAAATCAGCACTGATGATGTCAATTTCTAGCTCTTTCAAAATATTAGAATGTCTGGTGGCACTAGTCTCCCATCTTAGCCTGGTCGGGTAACCAACAAGGCCGGAGGGTCAGCTGCCCCCTTCAGATCGGACATGTCTCCTCCAGTTTGCCCCAGACCCCTCCTCCCCTGACACTGAGCAAAGGTAGGAAACTGGTAACCCACATCTAGATCTCCGCCTTCCTCTCAGCCCGCTTACCTGATGTTACTGTCCTGTCCCTGTAGGTACTTGAGTGGGCAAACTCTGATCTAGAGGCCCCTGTCGCCCTGGAGAAAGGCTTGACTCTGCCCCTGAGGTGGAGTAGCATCTGCAAAGCCAAGGACTTAACCTGGCTTCTGCCTGAACCAACATTCCTGTCTTCTTTACAGAAAAACTGGGTCTGGGGCCCCAAGGGCTGGGGTGCTATCCTTCTTGTGAACTGCAGCCCTGCTGACGCACACCAGCTCGTGGACAGGAAGAGCAAGGTGTTCTCTACGGAGGGTGAGAACTGGCCGCTGACCAAGGACCATCACCCACTTTCCTCCCTGGGCTCTGCCCCCCCTGGGGCTTCACTGCTCCATCCCTCAGCAAGCCCAGATTCCAGGCTGATGTCCCTGCTCTGGGCCCATCAAGTCTCTTTTCAATGGCTTAATGGCTTGAAGCGTGTAACTGGGCAGAAAGGGGCCCCTTGGCAAGAACACAGGCTCTGATGTCAGGTTACTTCCCGGCCATGAACTTGAGTATGTTAACTTCCCTGGTCTTGTTTTGCCATCTGTAAAATGGGGATGATAAAACGGACATCACAGGTGGTTGAGAAGACTAAATGAAGACACACAAGGGGTAGGCGAGACCCTTCCTAAAAACCCTCTTGTAGCCTGGGGCAGGACCCTGAGTGTCCTAGCCAAAGCCCTCTTGGATCTGGTCCTGACATGTGGTCTGGACGTAGATTCCAGGTCCCAGCAGTAGAATGGGATTTCCTGGTTCACACCAAGGCTGGAGGGGAACGCACGCTGAACTGACCATGCCAGGCCCTGTTCCAGGTGTTTGTGGGGACCATCTACCCCTTACAACTGATGGGGTAGATGCCACCCTCACTCAGAGTGGGCCCCAGCCGTGGCAAGTTGCCTGTAGCCATATGTGCAGCAAGTAGCAGAGACAATGATGCAGGCCTAGGCCAGAGCGGGAGGCACAGTGTCCTCGGTGCTCCAGGATACAAGCCCCTCTACCCCGACCCTACTGCTCCCTCCATCCCTGGAGTGCTGGCCTCCAGAAGCCCCTGAATCTTTGCCTTGTCTTTTTCTCAGAAACAAAGAGTCTGTCCCAGATGATACTGAGAGTTCAGGGACCCAGCTACATTTTAAAGAAATGCCGGGTTGTTCTCCACACCTCCAAGGAAGAGTCGGAGAAGGCAAGAGTCTACCGGCCACAAAGTGAGTGTTTCTCCACATGCCAGGGCCAGTTGTGGCCACACCTGCTCCCGGCAGGGTCCCCGTCAGAAGCCAGCTGGGGACCGAGAGCAACAGGTCAGGGTCTATTACAGCCGGACTTGTGTCCCTGGGATCCTCTGGCTGCCACCTTCACCATGGAGTAAGTCTGTACACGTGGGTGAGTCATTGTACCTCCAAGCCACTTTCCCCAGTGGGGGCGATGATCGTGCCTCTCCTACAGGAGTTTCATAGCTGGATGAAGAGAGGTGGGCATTAGATGAAATGGTGGCTATAGCCTTGTATAGATTAGTGTCTTCTCCCGAGTATTCCTGCCACGCGAATCCATCTGTTTCTTAACCGAGACTTGGCTGTATTAGGTTTTGAGAATTCAGAGGCTGGGAAGCCAGAGTGGCAGCTATGCTAGCACATCCAGCCCAGGTACCACACAGCCCAGATACCGTGTGGCAGGCAGGTGACATGTCCCTATTCTACAAATGAAAGCGGGGAGGGCTGCTGGCTTAGACAGTGGATGTGCCCAACTCCAGCAAAATACCCTTCAACAGACAAGTCTTTGGATTTCCCTAAACGAATTCAGTATTCAGTGCCTCTCAATTAAGATTTAACTCTTCGCTACTTTCTTTAAAAGCCAAGTCTAGCCCCAGCTGGGCAACTGGGGAGCATGTGGTTTGCAATGGGCCATCTCTGTGTCCAGCGTGGGGGAGCGTGCCGCAGCTCCCTCCTTGCCCATGCTCGGGGGCCTCAGCTCCGAGGCGGCTGTTCCATCTCTTCTGCAGACCTAGGTCACAGCTGGATTGGAAGTGACCTGGGACTAGCAGAAAAGGCAGCCCAGGTTGTATGTGGTCCTTTGACATGTGGGCTAGAAATAAGCCTTAGAAACTGTGGCTCTAGGCCTGGTTCAGGCCATGAGGGCTGTTCTGGTCCTATGAAACCCAACTATGTCCAGGCAACTCTGAGGTGGGCTGGGCTGGATGGGCCTTGGAGCCTGCTCAGGAGGCCAGGGATGTGTGTACCCGCCCAAGATGCCATACTTCAAGCTACCTACCTGCCTTTTAAAGTATTCAAAAATTTAGGGTAGGGCAACACAGCACACTGTGTTAATATATCCTCCACGTGAAGCTGAGTTGAGCTGAAGTTGGAGAGCCATAGTCTAAAAGATAGAGCAAAGGAATTTAAGAAATTTCCGGAGAAATTGAAAGCCAGAGCATAAGGTTCGAGGAAAAAAAGGAAAACACTTGCATGAAAGCAGTGATCAACTATGACCAGTGCTGTTGAGTGACTAAGATGCCCAGATCAGTGGGAAAGTTGGTTTTCAAAGCTGGTCATTAGTGACCTTGATAAGAACAGTGGGGATAAGAAGAACAGTGGGGATAAACAAGAGTAGGGAGTTCCCTGGAGGTCCAGTGGCTAGGACTCAGCACTTTCACTGCGGTGGCCCAGCTTCAATCCCTGAGGGAACTAAGATCCCACAAGTTGTGCAGTGCAGCCAAAAAAAAAGAGTAAAATGGGCAGGCACAGTGAACATAGACCATGGAAGGAGTCTGCCATAAAGGGAAGTATGTGGCGGTAATAACTGGGTGGGGCATGGGGTGGGGGTGGGGAACAGTATCTGAAGATGGTAGAACACAGCATATCCATGTGCAGATGGGACCCATCCAACAGAGGTGGTGAAATAGATTTCAGGAGAAAATTATAGGAATGGATACACAGTACTCAGAATATGGGAAGAGGGAGAGTTAATGGCCACAAAATAGTGTTTCCAAGTACAGCGGAGGCCCCCTCTGAGGTTTGATCATATCCTAAAAGATCTTTCTTTTAGGAAAGATCTAAAAAGATCTAGAAAGTGTGGCTTTCTCCAGCTGCTTGAATGCCAGGGTTGAGGTCTTGGTGTGGGAGCTGACGGCGTGTGCAGGGTAGTGGGTCAGGTAATGGGTCTTGGAACGTGAGGAGGGTGCAAAGGGGAGTGAGGGTGGAGGGTGGGAATCGGCTGTGTAGAAAGGTTTGGGGCTGGGATGAGACTGTAGATGAGCTGGAAAGACTGAAAGAAGAGATGCCAGCTCTGTCTTGGAGGTGGTATCCGAGCCATGAGCCTTGACATTGGCGTCTAAGATGATGCAGAACTCAAGTTCATTGAAATAAGGTCGCAGAAGCAGACTGGATGGTCTGGTCTATGGTGTAAATGGTACCCAGCACCCTAGTGGTGGAGACAAACCAGTTCTAGAACAATCCACGGAGGATGGTAAGGGTGGTAGTCAGGTACAGTGAGGAAGCGGGCAGGTGGCATTATCTGATAGCGTGTCCCTCAAAGGGATAGGAGTCTTGAGGAATGAAGAGATGGTCTAGAAGTGCCATCGAAGATCAAAGGGCACCTGCCCTACCTCTAAGCCCAGGGGTACATAGAAGGTAGAAAAAAGGAGCACAGTTCAAGGGAGTGTTTCCTCTGTGCCCTGGTGCTCCTGCTCTAGAAGGATAAGGATATTACCTGCCCTCAAAGCCTAGGGCAGATGGACAGACAGCCAAGTTCCAAGCAGGGGCTTGGGGAGTGGAGGTGGTGAGAGCTCAGGTTAAGCCAAGCTGAGCGAAGGCAGAAAGGGCCTTCTGGGTAAAGGTAACTGTGTTGTGGCTGGTCCTCCTGGCCTCCTTTTCTGTATAGTGGGGGTGATCGTTACAGCACCTGCCCCAAAGGATGGTGAGGCCGCAAACGAGTCCGAGCCCCGACCCCAGGTGCCGGCAGGTAGTAAGTCCACAAGAAACGTTAACTGTGCTTAAGCGCAAGCGACTAGATACGAGAGAAGGCCCCCGGCAGCTGGAGGGAGACCAGGTGGTGGGCAGTCACTGTCCAGCCCCACAGCACGCCAAGCACGCCTGTTGCGAACCCTGGGCGGGGGCCCTGCAGGGACGCAAGGGGTGGTCATCTGGTCTCGCCCCCTCAAGGTCTAGCTCAGGGCAAGCGAGGAAGCCTCCAGGCAGACTAGAAGCAGGAGGCCGCATAGGTACATCCCCAGCGCTGGGGCTGTCCAGCTGGCCCTGCCACCCGCTAAGGCCAAGCCTGCAGCCACCACCCCTAGCCCTTGCGACGAGGTTCTTCTGCAGAACCGCCTGGAGCCAGTCTGCGAGGTGAGCCACAGCCCCCCTCGGGTGATCACTGTGTTGCAACCCAGAGCAAGGGGCCGGTGAAGCAGGCCATGGCCGCAGCTTGTGTCGGACTTTTTGGGTGAGGCTTCCAAGCCCATCTCTGTACAGCTTCTCACCTTGAAGGCTTACGACATTCTCCCCAAGTCTGGCCAAAGCGTAGAACCACCATGAGCCTTCACCTCTTGAAGGCAGGTGTTTTTATCTGAGTCCCGGCTCCCGACCGGTCTTTGAAGAGTGAGTAACTGGCCCCCGTTTGTGAACAAACCCCTGCTGTCCACTAAGCCCTAAACACCAGGAACCTAGGGGCCGAAAAGCCGTCTTGACCCCAGCTCTCCTGGGACTCCCGGCCCGACTTCTGACCTGAGGAACGTGCCATTGGGTGTGGTTATGGGCACCAGGCTCCTTCAGCAGCCGGTCTATCCTTCTCTCCTTCCTAGAAGACAGCTCTAGCACCTTCGAGTTGGTGCTGGGGCCTGACCAGCACACCTACAACTTGGCCCCCGTCGAGGATGACTTGGAGGAAACCTTCTACGTTGAAGCCTTAGAGTTCCCATCCGCCAGCTTCTCGGGCTTGATTTCCTACTCGGCCTCCCTGGTGGAAGAGTCTCAAGACCTGGTACATCCCCGGGTAGAAGAGCAGCCCTCAGAGCAGGGACTGTGGGGGAAGGGAGACCTGTCACAGCTGGGCAGAAAATGGGAGCACAGTGGGTGGAGCTAGGGTGTCATGTCACCTTCGGGTAGAGGACAGGTAAGGGCGTGGAGGTGGGCTGGGCTGAGCAGCTGGAGGCCCGGTGGGGGGAGGGGGAGAAGGTGGACGGGGAACCAGGTCACCAGCAGCACCTCGTCTTACATCGCAGTCGATTCCAGAGACCGTGGTGTACAAAGACACCGTGGTGTTCCGGGTAGCTCCTTGCGTCTTTGTCTCCAGCACCCAGATGCCTCTAGAGGTATACCTGTGCAGGTAAGAAACCCTCAGGCTGCCTGGGCCGGGTCGTTTCTATAACTGGCTGGCTCTCCTGTCTGTCGGCGGGGTGGGTAAAGATGATTAGACTTCTCACCAGGAATGTGAAATCCTTCCACCTGAGGCAGCCACCCAATGCTTGTTTGGATACTTACAAGGCTAGGGCTGGAGCCGTGACCACGGCAGCCCCCCTCTGGTCTTAAGGGGAGACGGACAAACAGCATGGTTTCAGGTAGGATCCAGGGCTATAAAGCCAGGGAAAAGGATGGAGGGGTAAGGATGAGATTGTTATAGGGACAGCAGGGAAGCCTGCAGAACCAGGAGAGAGCAGGCAGGAGGAGGGGGAGGGGCGACAGGGCAAGGTGAGCAGGGCCTCAGCGTATTAGGGCGAAGCCTCCGGGACTGTAACGGACCCCCAGACAGTGGTTTAAAGTCAACTTTCTCCCACCTAGATGCCCACAGTGGCAGTCAGGGGCCCTGGTTCCTTTCAGGCTGTGATAATGCTTTCCCCTGAGGCCGCAGCTTCATCTTTATGATGGAGGCTGAGCACAGGCACTTCTGAGGCCTGGCCCCTAGGAAAGGGGAAGAGCCAAAGTCCGGGCAAAGCCACCCCCATTTGTTGCTGCTGGAGTCTGGAAGGCTCCTGAATTGCTCTGCTCACGTGCCAATGGCCTGAAGAGGCGCAGGCCACACCTAACGGCAGGGAGGCCAGGAACGATCTCTAGCTATGCGGCTGGAGGAGGGGAGAAAAGACTGTGGCAGGTAAAACCCGTGGGAAACCATCCAGGGTCCTGCACAACCACTCCGGCCACGTGGAAAACCAGAGGTACAAATAAAAGGAACCAGTTCAGCCATTGAGATCACGTGGGCCAGACGCAGCCATGGCTCGGGCCGGGGCGGTGGGAGCGCAGTGGTTAGATTCAGGATTGCTTGGAAGGTAGGCTCCCCCGCCCCCAAGTTAGCTGAGGGATGGGATGCAAAGAAACAGGAGTGTCCCCTGGGTTTGGGGTATGCAACGAGATGAATGGTGGTGCCCCTGCCTGGCGGGGGGGGGGGTGTCAATTGGTGCTTTGGCTCTAGAGACATAAAGCTAGAGACACCCATTAAGTTTCTAAGTGTCTGGAGCTCAAGGGAAAGTCTGGCAGCTGGAGATGGGGGGGCCCTGGCACGTTGTGGGTATTCAGAGCCACAGGCCTAGCTGAGCTCAGAGGAGGAGGGAATATATTGGGAAGATGCCTGAGAAGTGAGCTCTAGAGCCGTCGAACCCTCGGCTCCAGACAAGAACCTAGCAAAGGAGCCTGAGAAGGAAGAAGTTCAGATGAAAACCAGGAGAGCGGAGACCCGGAGGTGAGGGGAGGGTGATACGTGGTAAGAGGCCAACCATGGGAAATTCCGAGGAGAATAAAGTGCCCACTGGGTTTGGCAAGATGGAGGCCACTGTGCAGAGCGTGATCCTGAGTGGTGGGTTTGAGTGTGGTGGGGTCACAATTGCGTCGAAGGAATGAATGGGAGGGGAGTACTCTGCAAAACGCCAGAGAAGTGGTCTGAAGGGGATTTGGGAAAGGGAAGGCTGTTTTTTAAGGGAAGCAAAGAATAATGCTAATGGATGTGATCCAGCAGAGAAGGGGGAAACTTGGTGGGGAAAAAGCGAACAGGTCACATTGGCCTTAATAGGTAGGACAGCTCACCCACTTTCCAGGAGCAAATTGACTAGAGGAACTGTTAGTGGTAGGATGCTGTCTGGTGCTAAGGACCTGTTGAAGTTGCCAACTTAGAGGACCGTCACTGTGGTTTTTCTCCAACTATTTTTGGTAACGAGCTCTAGGGAAGAAGAAATGTAGAACTGAATCTAAGCAGGGTTGTAGTTTTGCCAGGCAGATAAGGCCAAGGGGAAGGATAAGGGTATGATTATTATGATGCATCACAGACTCAAAGTTAGATAAGGAGAAAAAAGACACGGGGTGATGGGAATAAAAGCAGTTGAGGGCCAGGCATCACAGTGATATCAAGCTGCTGGCCCAGGGACCAAAGTGAGCAGGGAAGATGGAGGTGATGGAACTGGACAGTTGATCTTAGAGGTGGTGTGACCATTAGGATGGGAGGGTAGAAATAAGACCTTGTCAAGTCAAGGATCTGAAGAGGTCACGGTGGCCTGGCTGTAGCACCTCATGGCAAGGAGTACGTCCATCCCTCCTCCAGACTCAGTGGAGGGAAAGAAGAAAAATAGCTCTTCCACGGGAGGGCTGCTAGGAAGTTGGGTCCACAGAGGAATGCCAGGCTTCAGAATGAGAAGGTAAAAGGGAAGAGCTTGAGGGATTTTGCTGACAACTGATATCCAGGTATAAGATCTTTCTTGTCTTTTGTATCTGAAGACAGAAGTTCACTCACAGGAGGCATCTATTGAGACTCTGATCTTCTAAGACTCTCCCATAAGGGTGGTATTCAGGCACGGCTTGATCCAGCTTTGCCACAGATGGTGTACAAGACTGGGGCTACACTTCCTCCCCCAGCACACATCTCAGACTGTTTCAGACCTTATCAGGCTGGCCAGTTCCCTGCAGTCTTGTCTGTGTAGAATCGAAAAATAGGTTCTTTGGAACGGTAGCATGGAATAGCAATTCAAGTTTTGGACCTGGATTAGAATCCAAATTTTTTACACTTCCCCATGGTGACCTTGCTGGCATTCAACGCAGGAGGACCTGCTGGTAAAATGGGTGATCTCAACATCAGCCCCAAACATCACTGTTTCTCTCCAACAAGGAATGGATGTACACTGTGGACCTGTGAGCCTGGTGCTCTACGTGATGGCACTAAGACCTCAGGGCTCAAGACCCACCCCTGCCAACCATATGAATATGACAACCTTGCTGGCCATCTCAAGGGGGCACTAGGCTTCTTGGCTTCTCGGGAGAAAAGTACAGCCCCCTTGCGGTGAGAGGAGTCAGCCCTCTGGGTAGATCAAGGCAGGAGAGCCTGGGGCATTTCCTAGATCACTGGGGCAGGGAGTGGAATGTGACGCAGAGTAGGGACAAGCAGGGTCTTAGGACACGAGAGTGAAGACTGACACTAGTAATCTTAAAATTTTTATTGGAGTATAGCTGATCTACAATTTTGTGTTAGTTTTAGGTGTACAGCAAAGTGATTCAGTCATACATATATCCATTCTTTTCTAGATTCTTTTCCTGTATAGGTTATTACAGAATGTTGAGTAGAGTTCTCTGTGCTCTACAGTAGGTCTTCATTAGTTATCTATTTTATTTATAGTAACATGTATATGTCAATCCCAATTTATCCCTCCTCCCCTCTCCCCCCGGTAACCGTAAGTTTGTTTTCTACAACCGTCGACTCTACTTCTGTTTTGTAAATAAGCTCATCTGTACCTTTTTTTTTGAGTCCACATATAAGCGAGATCACATGATACTTGTCTCTGTCTGACTTACTTCACCCAGTATGACAATCTCTAGGTCCATCCATGTTGCTGCAAATGGCATTATTTCATTCTCTTTATGGCTGAGTAATATTCCATTGCATATATGTACCACATCTTCTTTATCCATTCCTCTGTTGATGGGACAACAGAGGTGGTTTCTTCCACGTCCTGGCTATTGTAAATAGTGCTGCAATGAACATTGGGGTGTATGTATCTTTTTGAATTATGATCATAATTATGACCCATAATCATGGGTCATATGGTAGTTCCATTTTTAGTTTTTTAAGGAGACACTAGCAATTCTTGACCTGACTTTGCCATGAGCTAAACCAAGTGATTCTGGGCAAGGCACACCCTGAGCTTACCAGCTGCAGCTCCATGAAGTGGGGGGACAGCAGCTCTGCTTACCTCACGGGCAGGGGCAGCATTTCTCCTGACCAGAAGGAGGTTCCCCCTTCCCCTGGGACAGAGAGGTCATGACCAGTTGGGGAGCCTTGGAGGCCTTTCTACAGCCAGCTTATTTCCCGTGGCAGAGAGCTGCAGGTCCAGGGCTTCGTGAACACAGTGATGGAGCTAAGCGAGAGAAGTAACATCCAGGTGGCATCTGTCTACGAGGACCCCAACCGCCTGGGCAGGTGGCTCCAGGTAATCCCCCACCTGTGGGGGAGGGGTGGGGGAGACACCATGTGTGGCACATACAACAAACTTCACCAGCTTCTGTTCAGCCTTCCAGCAGAGCTAAGAGTAACCAGGGGCGGCTTTGTTCTTAGGAGGTCAGTGGTGGCTGAGATGAAATGACTTGCCCAAGTCCTAGCCACTAAGGGGTAACGCTTAGAGTCCAACCTCCTCCCATTCCAAAATGTACGCGTTTGAGACCACAGAACACCTAACCCTAAGGCCCAGGTGTCTGAGGGGCTGATGCCTCCAGCTACAGGCTGGCAGGCCCGGGGCACTGCCCCAGGGTCCAGCTTGACCCTGGCTGAGCAGGAAGTGTCGAGCCCAGTCTTTTGAGGTCTGGTCTGTAGTCACAAATGACGAGGACCTAAGTAGTAGTGATGAAGGAGAAAGGGGCCGACTTCTGCCCTTGATCTTGCCGTGATAGAACTCTAAGTACCATGAAAGCAAGAAAATGATATGATAGTGAGTTACTAGATTTACCTCGGCGCTTTGCGTGGTCAGGAACGTCTTCAAACGCGGGAAGCAAGGAGCTGGCCGTGCAAAGATTGGGGTTGGGGGTGGATTAGAAGTAGGAGCCCTTCAGGCACAGAAACAGCCGACTGAAGATCCACCATGTGAGGAACAGAAAAGCTGGTGTGGCCAGATCAGAGTGAACTACTGTCAGAGGTAGGTAAGAGCTAAATTATCTATCGGGGACCTTTTACACAAAGGTAAGGAAGAGAAGAAACCAATCCCAAGCAAGACGAGGGGAATTCCCTGGCAGTGCAGTGGTTAAGACTCTGTGCTCTCACCACCAAGGCCCCGGGTTCGATCCCTGATTGGGGAACTAAAAGCCCGCGAGCCGCACCGGTGCAGCAAAACCAAAACCAAACAAGATGACATTGAATGGTATGAATCAGGGCAGTTGAACGTTCTGACTTAGGTTTGGTTTTTTTTTTTGTTTGTTTGTTTTTGCGGTACGTGGGCCTCTCACTGCTGTGGCCTCTCCCATTGCGGAGCACAGGCTCCGGACGCGCAGGCTCAGCGGCCATGGCTCAGAGCCCAGCCACTCCGCGGCATGTGGGATCTTCCCGGATCGGGGCACGAACCCGCGTCCCCTGCATCGGCAGGCGGACTCTCAACCACTGCGCCACCAGGGAAGCCCCTGACTTAGGTTTTAAAAAGACCCTCTGGCTGAGAAATAGAGCGCCAGCCTTAGGAAGGGGCAGGAATAGAAGAGATGCTGATTGGAGGGCCTGACAGTCACAGGGGGAAGAGGTGGTCTTCCCCAGGTGGCTTCCCCTGAATAGTACCAGAGAGGAGTCCACTTGGAACATATTTTGGAAATAAAGCCCACAAGGCTTGTTCACGGATTCGGTGCAGGAGACGAGTGGAGGAAGAATCTTAGGTGGCTCATCAGGTTTTAAACCTGATGAACAGAAGGACAGGCCAGGGAAAATCCCCAAGAAGGGGGGGATGCCTGCGCAGGGTTTTGAGGGCTGAGCAGAAGGTGGCAGGGAGAAGGGGGTTCTTCTCCCTGTACCTGCTCTCTGGAGGTGGCCCGTGTACAGGGAGCACTTGTGGCTGGAAAACTGGATGCGGGAAAGTAGCTGATGGAGCGAGAGAAACTCACAACTTGTTTCCCTGTGTCCTCCAGGATGAGATGGCCTTCTGCTATACCCAGGCTCCCCACAAGACTACTTCCTTGGTCCTTGACACCCCTCGGCTCCCCAAGCTCGACGATTTCCCCATGAAATACTCACTGGTGGGGACTCGGTTTGACTGATCTGAACTTGGTCCAACCTCTCAGGCCTGGTGCCTGCTGGAAGTGATGGGTGCCAGGGGAGAGGGCCCAGGTGGCCTCTGGGGGAAAGGGGTGTGGGAATCTACTGAGTCTGGAATGGGGTAAGACTGAGGCTTAACGCCTGTCCCTCCTAACACCCTGCCCCTGCTGGGTCTCCTTCCAGAGCCCTGGGGTTGGCTACATGACCCAACGCACCCAGGACCATACGGTGGCCAGCATAGATTCCATTGGGAACCTGATGGTGTCCCCACCTGTCAAGGCCCAAGGGAAAGAATACCCTCTAGGCAGGATCCTCATTGGCAGCAGCTTTTACCCCAGGTGAGGCAAGAGGCCAGGTAGTGGCCAGATGCCTTAAAACCAAAGGGAGGGACTCCTGTAGTTCACCTGGACCCACCTGATTCCCAGAGGACTCAGCAGGTCATCTGCTCTGGACCTTAAACGGTCAAGTCAGGACCTCTGAGTCTTTGATTCATGTAGGAGACTAGAGGTAGAAAGAGCAGACAAACCACTCATTGAGTGGTGATTCCAGGGTTTAAATTGAAGCATGCTAAATTTGGTTGGCCTATTGACCCAACATGATGTTGCTGCCACAAGATGTGTGGCTAGATTTCTTGGTGGCCGCTCATCTAAATCCAGGAAATACAGGGTTCAGTCTTTATCCAGAATCCAATGGCTCAGTCCTGAGTTGAGCCAGAGTAAAGGATTCTTTTTAAAATTCCTATGGAAGTATAGTTGACTTACAATGTGGTGTTAATTTCTGCTGTACAGAGTGACTCAGTTATACTTGTATACATATTCTTTTTCATAGTCTTTTCCATTATGATTTCTCACAAGGTATTGAATATAGTTCCCTGTGCTCTACAGTGGTAAGGGATCCTTCATAACCACCCCACCCCCCTATGGACCAGCCAATGGGTAGAGCAGCCAGTTACCCGAAGGTAGCCTGGCACTCACCGAGTTGTTGGCAGCCAACCTGGGCCATGCCAGCTCACGGGCTGTTCTTTCCATCTTCCCTTTAGCAAGGACTGCCGGAATCTGAGCAAGACCCTCCGGGACTTCCTCTACGCCCAGCAAGTCCAGGCCCCGGTGGAACTCTTCTCCGACTGGCTGATGATCGGCCATGCCTATGAGTTCATGTGCTTCATCCCTGCACAGTACAAGGTGGAGGACAAAAAGGTCTGTGTTGGGGGCTGGTGAGGATGTCTCCCACCCTCTTTCAGAAACTTCTGGAAGGGAAGCTAGAATCTGACCCTAGTTCTTTGATTCCCAGGACTTCTGGCTGCTCCTGGCCAGCCCCAGCTCCTGCTACAAACTGTTCAAGGAGAAACAGAAGGAAGGCTATGGAGACGCACGTCTGTTTGAAGGGATTAGAAAAGATCAGCTCCTTTCTAATGGTAAGGGGACACCCCCCCCCTCTGCAATAGAGGGCAGCTCCTTGGTCCCAGATGTCCTTTCTAGAGAACCATTTCTACTTGGTTCTTCCTGATAGAAAAGGATCCTAGGGAAGCATAAAAGCATGAAATGTACCATATTAGAACATCTTGTTCTCTTTCAGGGTAATTCTGGTGGTACTAGGACAGGACAGGCAGATCAGCCAGAAATTCTGGGATGGCTGAGAGGCTGCCAGAATATATGCAAAGGGGAACTTAACACATGGATGGCTCCATGCGGTGGGGGACAAACCAGATGCTACCAACACTGGTGTCTGGATGTCTTCGGGGAAGGTTGGGTTAAGTACCTGGGTGTTGGGACTTCAGGGTCTCCTGGTCACCCTGCAGGAAGACGTAAGTGGACAAGCAGAGATTGTGGGGCCTGGTGCCACAGCAGTTCTGTTCTAAACCTTCTGGAAACCTAGAAAGGGAGTGTGGGGGAGGGGGTGAAGTTCTCGACGTGTGGCCTGAGGACCACCAGCTTCAGTATCACCTGGGAGCTTGTGAGAAATGCAGAATTTCAGATCAAATTTTGAGGTGGGGCCCAGGATCTCATGGTTCTAGGAGGGCTTATGGAAGGCGACCTTGAGTATGAGCCACCTGTCACACACCAAAGACCTTGTGTTACCCCAGCTGATGGCCAAGTGGAGCAACTGAAGAACAAAGTTAAATAACCCGGGCAAGATCATACGTGGCAGGTAGCCAGGCTGTACACAGAAGGCATGGAGGTGCCCAGGTGAGCGGGGGCCGATGGCACTTGCTCACCTGGTCCAGGCTGCCCGCCTCAGACCCGATCCCAGGCTCCTCCCCTCCGACCCGGGACCGAGTGGCCGGTTGTGGCAGTGGAAGTCCTCCTGCGCTTTCACGGACCCTGCTGAGTCCCCACATGTGACGTTTGACCTAGAATGGGTCCCTGGAGGCCAGACAGGCCACCCACCGTCATCACTGGCCAGAGAATATACCCAGTCATCTGTGCCCAGGACTGGAGTCTGCCCAGCCCTGGACCACTTGGCCCACCCCCTGGCCCACAGGCCTGCCCGCCCTCTCCTCCTTCCTACAGGGAGGGAGGCCAATACCATCAATCAACTTCTGGCTGATGAAAACATGAGGAAGCAGAACGCCTACGTGGAGGTAGGGGCCAAGGATTGGGGACCTTCTCCAAAAGGCAGGGGGAGGCAGGGATCGCCTTGGCAACGGGTCCCTAACTGAGCAATAACTATGACCAAGCATCACACACGATACCTTACTCTAATCCTCAAAATAACCCTATGAAGTAAACCCACCTTGTCTATGAGGATAGCAAGGCTCAGAAGAAAGCCACCAGCCTGAGCCGATGAACTGGGGAACCAGGTTTGAACCCCAAGTCACCTAGTGTTGGACCCGAAGACAGTGCTGTAGCTCAACCTCCCGACAGAAGACCTCCCCGACCCTGGCTTCTCTAGGAAGCTCTGGGCACCAGAGAACATATCAGGGCCTTCTCAACACTTCTGAATGAAGCGGCCCTTCAGCTCAGAGTCAGAATCACCCAGCACCTCAGGTCCCTTAAAATGTGAATCACAGGCTGTGAGAAGCAAATTTTCCAGAAATTAAATACCTTCTAGTGGGGAAGCCACGGCCTGGAGAAAGGACGATGACAGGTCCAAGGTCACCCATCAGCACAAAATCGCTTGGTCCGCTGAGTCCTTATGGCTCCCGGCCAAGGCAAGCTCTGTGCCCTGACCTTTGCTGAAACAGGGGAGGCCTCCGGGCACGGCAGGGTGGGCAGCAGCCAGGTGGGGGTCCAAACAGCATCTCTGAGCCCTGGTGACATGCACCGTGGGTGTGAGGTCATGAGCCCTATGTCAAGACCTAGGAGATGCTCAGGCATCGGGGGTTAGCTGGTCTGGGCAGGGAAGTGCCCCGGGAGTCCACTGCTGGTGTCCCTTCCTAAGGATGGGAGCAAGTGCCTGGCTTTGAGGACCTGTTCTTGCCCTTGCCCAGGTCCCCCACTCTGGCCAGGACTGAGGGCTAAGGGGCCCCATGCTACTGCAGAATTAGGACTAGGGGCTGCCCTGGCGCTGATGAGCTGAGGGATCATGGCCTCTCGAGACCAGGCCTTTGCTCTGAGCCCCGACTTCAGAGCGCCGGCCCCCCGCCCTGCATGGCTCCCCGCCTGCAGTCAGTGCCGAGGAGATGCAGCTGCTTCGGGCTGGTAGCCGGTACCCGACAAACTCGCTGCCCTCCCGGCCCTTTCCCGCCCCGCAGAAGTGCATCAACCTGAACCGCAGTATCCTGAAAAGGGAGCTGGGCCTGGAGGAGCAGGACATCATCGACATCCCGCAGCTCTTCTGCCTGGAGCATATCGCCAACATCCCCTCCAGCGAGCAGACCGAGAAACTCTACGCGAGGCCTTACTTCCCTGACCTGGTGAGGGGCGCAGGGTGCTGGCTGGGTGTCCCCGGGCTGGGGCTGGGGGCAGTCTGGCCGACTCTGGCCAGTCTCTTGACAGACACGGTGCTAGGCTACGGAGGCGGGGCCCAGCAGACAGTGGCGCCTGAGAGGAAGAGAAGTGAAAGCCCTTCTCTCCCCCAGTTAGAGAAGACCCCTCCAGGGAGCAGGTGGGTGGGGGCCCAGGCTGGGCCAAACAGGGACTAACAAACAGGGACCAACTTCAAGGGCCCACCTCACAGACGGGGACGCTAGGCTCCACCAGAGTGGAGGGGGTAAAGCTGTCTGCTGGCCATGAGACCATGGGCAAGCTCCCTGAGCCCATGAGACCATGGGCTCAGCTTCCTGTCCATGTATCTGGGCAGCACCCTATTTAGAACAGGAATTGGGAATTTGGGGGTGTGGGTATATGCGAGAGCCCTGCTAAGGCCAAGCCTTCCAACTGTGGCCTACATCTGACCTTTCTCTCACCACTGTGCCCCATCACGTAGGTGCTTAGAATGAATTGAGACACTTGGGCTCATCAAGTCCTTAAACACTTGCAGGCCTCTTCTCTGAGCCCCAGGGACACAGGCCCCGCGTTCAATCGCACAGGGTTCTCTTTTACAAGACCAGTGAGGCCCTCTGGGCATGCAGTAGGAGGCTACATAGGCCCTGGGAGTAGGGAGGTATGGGTAATGGTGGGAGAAGCTGCTTTTGAGGAAGAGATGCTAGAATTAAGATGTGAAAAACGGACAGAAGTCCAATGGCAGAGCCGGGCGTAGAGAGCATTCCAGTAGAGGTAGGCAAGATTATGGCACAGACAAGACTAGAAGGCCAGGACAAGAGAAATGCAGTAGAGGACGCAACAGAGAAGTTGGCAGACCTCAGCTGGGCAAGATTTTTGTTTTGCTATTGAGAAATATATCAGGAGTCACTGGAGGGTTAAGCAGAGCGGGGTGGAGTTTGCTCGGATGGATTGGCGATGTCTGTCCGAGCAGAGGCTTGGAGGAGGGGTACCCTGTGCTTGTCTTTCCTGGTCTAGCCCAACCACAGAGGCAGCTGGGTTTTCCCTTGCAATAAGCCCAGTGGCCTTCCTTCCTTAGAAGAGGGACAGGGGCCTCTCTTCCACGGCTCTGACCCCTGTTCATCCTAACTGCCTCCGTGACAGCTACAGATGGTCGTGATGGGCCAGAACCTGGGCATCCCCAAGCCTTTTGGGCCCCAGATCAATGGTGCCTGCTGCCTGGAGGAAAAGATCCGCCAGTTGCTAGAGCCCCTGGGATTCCAGTGCACCTTCGTTAACGACTTTGACTGCTACCTGACTGAAATCGGAGACTTCTGCTCCTGTGCCAACATCCGCCGGGTGCCCTTTGCCTTCAAATGGTGGAGGATGGTGCCCTAGACCCATCTTAGCGCTGCCAGCCCTGCCCCAGCATGAATGGCCCACTATCACCACTCAACAGTGTCTGACCCTTGCCCTGCTCAGGGGCCTGGAGTCAGGGTTCTACAGCCCTTACTCACCCTGCCCACCCCCGTCCCTCAGCATTCAGTGGGGTGGCAATACTGGCAGCTTGAGGCCCTTGGAAAAAGACGTCAAGTGGTCACTGAGAAGTTACTGAATGTCCATTAAAGCTCTAGTCGTTCTCACTGCAGTTTGGCCGCGGCCTCCTCATTTCGGGGCAGGGGGTAATGGCTAAGGATGGAAAGCGGAGCAGCTGGGACACCTGTGGTCAGGCTGTCCCACTGGGAGGGGCAGGGGACCAGGCTACCATGGAGCTGCTGTCCCTCGTCTTCAAGGTCTTTGCGTGTGGTGGGAGCGGTTGGGCTCGGGTCACGCAAATCCTTCTCCAGTTCAAGCATCTGGTGAGCTGGACGTAGGCGCTCGAGCTCAATGTGACAGACTCTAGGCTTGGGGAAGGGAGAGGACTCCCCCTCGGCCTGGTAGGAGCTACAGGAGGCCAGGCCCGAAGAAGAGTGACTCCCGTGCCTTGTGGACAGCGGGCATCGGCAGGGAGAGGCTCTAGTCTCCTTGGTCAGCAGGTATAAGACTCTGAAGGGCAAGCTGCGACAGGCAGGCCTGCATGGACCCTTGTTAAGCCCGAAGTGTCCAGGGGAGAGGAAACGAACACCCACTCTAGGACCCAAAGCTGCCTACTGCCTGTCATCTCTGCCCACCCCTACGTTTATGGCACAAAAATGCTATGAAGTCAAATGATCCTGAGGTTTAACCACAGCTGCTCCCACCCTGCCCCTCCTCCTACCGACGGGAAGCTCCAAGCAGTCCAGGTACGTGGAACGGGGCAGTGCCTAGGGGAGGGGCTGATCTGATGACATAAAGCAGCCGGCATCCCAGAGGCTCCACAAACTGGACCGGCGTCGGCATGCTGGTGGCTGGTGACCTGGAGCAAAGGCTGTCAACTTGGGTAGAACAGAGAAGGCCTGGGGCCTCTGAACCCACGACTGGCTGCTTGGTGCCCCCCGGTGGACAGCTCGCCACACTGCCAGTAAGGGGCCAGCACGGCCTGGAAGGGGCACATTTGTGACCAGCGCTGAAGTGACAACAGGGCTCCCTTATGAGGAGTGGGTGGAGGAGGGTGGGGAAGGCACACGTTGTACGGCCCTCTTCAGGTGCTTTCCGTGTCTCCTCCTCTCAAAGCCCCAGGAATGTGACATGCGATGAATATGAAAAACTCCACGTTTTGAGTTGGGCCAGTGGGGTGCTGAAGCCTCCCTGAGGGTCACACATTTCCAGGAACAGAGCTGGGAGCTCCACTCACCTCCCAACCCCAGCAGGGCTCAAGCCTAGAAGCTAAAACGACCCGCGCTTCCCTGGGGCCCAGAGTGGGAGCCCGGGCCGGGGCAGGAAGGGCTCACGCAAGAAGCCGTTCCGTGTTCTTACGTTCATTCCGCTGAAAAAGGAGTGCAGAAGCCAAAACAGAGTAAACAATGATGTCGTTTATTTAAAATGTTTACTCCAAGAAATATATATATAAAAAAAGACAATTACAGCACTAAACCAGGCACCTTCGACCAAATCACAACCTCTCCTTGGACTCTCCCCTTCACGCTAAGCCGTCCAGTCTACCTTCCTGAGCTGGAAGACACGTCTGGAGCCCGAAGGATCAGCGCACCCCAGCCCCGCTGCTGTGTCCCTTCCTCTAGGAGCCCAGGACCGTCTCCCCCTACTCATTGTTCTAAAGGATCTTCCCCCTTAGGAAGTTCATTTTAAAATTCTAAGCCCAAAGGAGTGATCGTGGGAGAAAAGGGCAGTCTCCACGTGGAAGGGACATCCCTTTCCTGCTCCAGTCCCTGGCAGGGGGCCCGAGAGCGGGCTGGCGGTGGGTTTCAGATGAATCCACTTGAAGATTGAAGCCCCACTAGGCCAAGGGCAGCTCCTGCAAAGGCCAGGACCCAGGCTACTGCTCCCTTGACCCTCTAGTTGACTGCACAACCCAAGGGAGGCTGCACGGGTACAAGGAGCACGTGCGCCGAAGCCCATTCCAGGAAAGAGGTCTGTCAGGAAACCGAGGGGTTCTATGCAGGGAAGCTTGAGTCAGCAATGGTAGTTGGGGGGTGATTTGGACAAATCAGGTTAGTTTAGCAGAAGCTCTGAAGTTGCAGGAGCTTCTGCCCTGGACTATAAACACAGGACAGTTGAGACGAGCACAAAGTCAGACTAAATCTTAGAAAGAGACAGGCCGGCCTCCTCCCGCAAGGCCTTGGGACCGGCCAGGACAGATACCGTTACACGCCCTGCGAAGGCATAAGCCACCGTCCCGAGCGACAGGGCAGGGGGGACGAGTAGGGAAAGAAGCAACAACGACTAGATCATTTTTGGCATTTTAACATGGAGACAAAAGTGGTAACAATAGCAAAGCAAAAAAATAATAATAAAAAAGACCAATATTTAACTTTCCCATCACCCAAGTCTCACACTGAAGTTCTATCCCCGTTTCCCCCATAAGCACCACTGAACTAAAAAATCTATTTTAAAGCACCCAAACCAGTCCAGACCCTCTCGAAACCAAGAGCCCCAGCCAGAGCTGTCGCCTCTCTTGGGTCCAAGCGAGAGGAGGGTTCCGGGAAAGGCACCTCATAACTCACGCAGCGCGACGCCAGGGACGGGTTCGGGCACAGGGCACTTGGTGGGGAGCCACGGTGGCAGTCACAGCCTCTGTGCTGACACGCAGGGAAGGGGACTTCTTCCGTGATCCCAACTATTTGGTTACACAGCCAAGCAAACGTGACTAGAGAGCTGGGTTAGCGGAACAGGAACCCGGGCCTCAGAAACAGACCGGGCCCCTTCCAGCAGGATCCAGCGGGGGGAAGGGGTTCGGAATAAAGACAGAAGCACAAAGGTGATAAAGGCTGGTACACAAAGGACTGATCCTTCTTTGCAAGGACTCCGGAATGCACTTTTTACTGCTGGCTGGTCAATCTCTAATAGCGAGTGCTGGCGAGGCGGCCCCGGCTCAGAGGAGCCTTCGAGCCGGATCTGGAACCACATACACTGTCCCCACATCTGCCCACCCCCGCAAGTCCCCACTGGTTCCACAATCCCCTGATTTTCATTTGGACTTCTTTTACAGCTAAAGCAGATATAAATGGCTAAACACAGATCCCCCACCAGGGGGGAAAACGGCAGATTCTATTAATGTCGCGGCCAAAAGGCGGCAGGGGGCTTAGAAGCAGCCAAGGGGAGAAGCAGAACACACACGGCCTGAGCCGGGCTAGAAAGGAGAAGCAGGAGAGAAGTGACCCAGATGCTTCCGAGCACATGGGCACCATTTTGGATGGAGACTGACCACCAGGGACCGTCTTTGCCTAGATGTTGCCGGCTCCCGCAAGGGACATTGTTTTCTGAGCGTGTGGCGACTCCTCTCCCAGGTAGCACCCGCTGGGCTCACAACGCTAATCACAACCGGGAAGGGGTGTTTTTGACAAGTGTATGTAGGAGAGGGGGGTAAAAAAGGAAAACTTAAAAAGAAAAACAAAAAACAAACCTACATTGCTCAAAGTTTCTGCCTCTTTTGTAGGAATGGTAAGTCAACTATGAGCAAATATTTTAATTAATCATTAAGAGGGGAAAAAAAAACACTTTGGAAAGCATACAGGAAAGGTAGTTGACGTTGAATCACTTATAAAAATGGAACCTCAGGGAGTCCTAACAAAAATGCACCTTCGGTCAACTTTTGCTTTTGAAAATTCCTCGTGTGACTTCCCGTCCCAGTGCACGTGGAAATGACAGCTGCCGCGAGAGGTGTGGAGCTGGAGAGGCTCCGGGAGCATCAGAGGGTCCGGGGGTTGTACTCTGGTAGTTTCTTGATCTTCTCCTTCTCCGTCTCACTTTCGTCTCTCGCTATCACCAAGGAGTGTGAGTAACCCATGGCAACCTGGGGGACAAACCAGCGCTGGGTGGGCAAGGGTGCTTCGGCTAGGCAGAGTTTGGGGCTGACAAGTCCAATGCAGACGACGGGACACAGGGAAGCTGGGCTCGCCAACGGGGGTCAGTACAGAGGTCAAAACAGAGGCATCCTGAAAAGCTCAGAAAAGCCCTCTGCTGAGGACCACCAGTGTCAACGTGACCTGCCACCAATGCCCTGCTAGCCTGCCTTCTGGGCGGCCCCAGGAGACAAAGTGGAAGGAGGCCCCCCCCCGCAAGCAGCGTTTGGACGCCGACTGCCTGCAGAGGCTGCGGGGACTCGGGACCATGCTCCCTGTTCCCTGCGCCTCTCTGGACCACAGCCCTGCCTTGTGCAAGGGCACAAGCCCCACGTGCGTATCGGTGACAAGGGCTGGCAGCCTGGTGAGAGACCTCGCCCCACCAGCTGCCCACAGCCTAATGGTGCATAGAGTCTTGGGTGAAGGTACCAAGCTGACGTGAGTGATGCACTCGGCCTGGAGCAAATCTGCTGTGGCTGGACTCTGGCCGGTGTCCCTCAGGCTGACAGCAGCCGCGGGGCCTAGCCGGCACACCTCTGTGCCTTCCCCATCACCCAGCAGAAAACTCTAGCACGGGGCACAGGAAAGCTACACAAGATGTCAGATGCGGCTCAAGCGGGCTGCAAAGAGCAGAAGCAGGAAGAGGCACGATGCAACTCTGCTCTTTTCTCTCTGCTCCCACCGCCCACCCCCCCCCCCCCGCCCCAGGCCGAGGGCTCCTCACTCACCTGCTCCGTGAAGATGCCGTCGAGCGTCTTCACCTCCTGAGCTGCAGTGGAAGACTTGGGCTTGTGATCCCCATAGCCCTGGTGAGGCAAACAGAGGGATGCTCACAGAACCCGGGTCACTAACGCCAGTCAGAAAGAGGGAACCTCACCATGTGGCTGGACCTCCCACGGGCCCAGAAGCCTCTGTGGCCGAGCCCCGCCGTCTCATACCCAAAGCCAGGCCCGGGCAGCA